AAACTGTCAGCTTAATGATAGTTGTAAACTTAAGAAAGAGCGGTGGCCCCTGTCACAGGCTCCATAGGTTAAAAGGGGACTCCTGTCACCATTTAGTTAATAGTACCATTCAGTTAATAGTAAATTGTATTGTTTTTAAGCAATAAAAATTATTATTATTATAATCTACAAACTGTGAATAGTGCATGAATTAAATTTTTATATCTAGCTATTTATTATTGTTGAAATAAATAAATACAAAGTTGAGTTTAATATATGCACACATATGTGTATGTTAAAAAATACATAAATGTAAGAGTCACCTTATTTAGATGGCATAACGCTTGGTATACTTGTATTTTTGAACATTGAGATTTGTGTATATAGATTATTGTATAAATAGTGTTACATAATATTTACATATTATACTCTGTACATTATTTTAAATAGGGAAGAACTGAGCCCTGTTGAATCCACTGTTTTTCTTGGCATCACTCTCGATACAAAGCTTCAGTGGGGCCCCCCTTATATCCAAACCAACAAGCAGTTTTGTTCTGCAGCCTATGCTGTAAAAAATATTAGAGGTCTCACTAGTGTCGAGACAGCTAGATTAGTTTATTTCAGTTATTTCTATAACATAATGTCTGATTGAGAAACTTTGTTTTACAGAACAGGGCCATTTAGAGCTTTTTTTTATATAGGATAGGATGACAAACAAGCACACAGTCTACCTGATGGTAAGTGGTTGCTGTGACCCATAGACATCTACATGTATCCTTGATAAAGAATCAAAATGCAGATGCGTTGTCACCCCTGAAGACTAAGATGGAATACCTCTTTTCCAGTAAGAAGGGTCTCCGGTTCTCTACACTCACCATACGAAACACAGCAGTGTCAAGTTGCCATTTTACGCTGGTATTCTGTGAGTGTGGTCCTTCCCCAATAAAAATAATATAGCTGCAGAATGACTACCACATATAAAAGAGCTATTTACAACCTAAAACTAAGAGAGTCTCTTAGAGAAAAAGTTAAAGAAATAAATATGTTAACTTTGGCCTCTTGATAATTTTATGTATGTTCACAAAAGCAAAGGTAGTTTTAATAAAAAAGGTGATATACACTCTGGAAACACTAGGAACAGACATAAGCTAGTGATACCAGTTTCTTGACTCTACAGAGTCAGTAATTCATTCTTGGGGCTATTACAGCTAAGTCTCAGAAAATATACAAGCTCTCTCTATTACCAAGTTTAAATATTTTATTAAACTAATACTGTATAAAAAAGGGTTGTTATAATATAAATGAATACATGGTTGATAATAACCCCTGGGAATGAGGTGGTCACTTCCAAGTTGTTTCTAAAATAAAGTTTGTAAATAGTTTGTACAACCATTCATGTAAAATTTACTTTTAAAAAAAAGTCCCGCTAGGTTTCTTGGTGGTTCTTCCCAGGACACAGGTTGTTTTTTTTTCAAACCAGTGGTAAAGTAAAAGTAAAAAATTACTCAATAAGAATTACACATGTGATCTGTATTGAATAAAAAATTATTTTATTCTATTTATGTCTATATTTATAAATTTATGCTAAGGTGTTAATTGGAAGAAACAGAAACAGAAACTTTTTTATTCAATATAGATTATAAATAATACTTATTGAAAGTCACTCTTTTGTTTGATTACCACTGGTTCGGAAAAAACCTCTGTCCTGGGAAGAACCAGCAAGAAACCCAGCGGGACTTTTTTTTAAAATAACAGCTTAAAATCATGATGTTACACAAATTAACAACACAACAAATTAGAAATAGCTTGGTAGCGATCACCTCATTTCCAGGGGTTATTATCATCCATAAATTCCTTAATATTATAATAACCCTTTTTATACAAACTTAGTTTAATAAAGTTTTTGAACTTTGAACAGGTCAAACTTTGTATATTTTCTGGAATTTTGTTGTAAAAGCGTATACATCGCCCCAAGAATGAATTACTGACTCGATGGAGTCGAGTAACTGGTACTACTAGCTTGTGTCTGTTCCTAGTATTTACAGAATGAATATCACTTATTTTTATAATACTACTTTTATTTTTGTGTACGTACATTACATTTTCTTGAGAGTACATTGTATTGAGAGGCCAAAGTTAATATATTAATTTCCTTAAATTTTTGTCACAGCGACTCTTTAGGCTTTAAATCATAAATTGCTCTTATGGCCCTCTTCTGCAAAAGAAATATAATTTCAGTGTCAGCTGCGTGTCCCCATAGCAAAATACCATACAACATTATGCTATGGAAGTAGCTGAAGTAAACTAGTCTAGCTGTTTCAACACTGGTTAGACTTCTAATCTTTTTTACAGCATATGCTGCAGAACTAAGTCTGCTTGCTAGTTTTGATATATGGGGGCTCCATTGAAGCTTCGCGTCTAATGTGATTCCAAGAAAAATGGTGGTATCTACAAGACTCAGTTTCTCCCCATTTAAAATTACATTAGTATTTAATTGTTTGACATTTGGAGTCACGAATTTCATACATTTTGTTTTAGTGCCATTTAAATGCAAATTATTAACATCGAACCAATTTACTAATTTAGATATAGCATTATTTACTTCGTCATATTTTAGTAACTGTCGACTTAATTTGAAAATTAAAGAAGTGTCATCTGCAAATAATACTATATCATGGTTATCCCCTACTATGTAAGGTAAGTCATTAATGTATACAAGAAACAGAAAGGGGCCGAGAATTGAGCCTTGAGGCACGCCCATTTGTACCATCGATCCGGAAGAGCTCATATTGTTAATGACAACTTTTTGCGTTCTCTTACTTAAATATGAAATAATTAATTTAAGGGCATCACTTCTTACGTCGTAGTGTTGAAGTTTCCTAATTAATGTTTCATGGTGAACACAATCGAAGGCCTTGGATAGGTCACAAAATATACCCAAAGCATCCTGTGAATTCTCCCATGCATTAAAGATATATTTAATCAGCTCAACACCGGCATCAGTTGTCGAGCGACCCCTTGTGAAACCAAATTGATTTTTATGAAGTAAATTATTTATATTAAAAAAATTTAACATTTGATCAAGAACAATTTTTAAAAAAATCTTACTAAGTGTTGGTTAGAGTTGTTTGGGAAGAGTTATGAAAGAAACTGATGGAAAAATTTAGGATATGTAAGCTGGATTGCTGTAAAGCTGATGAAAGGGAATGGAATGTATGGATCAAGTCTTTTACATGTGTATGATCGCAGAGAAATTTATGGACACAAACCAGAAAGCGTGTATGCGTTTGTGGACTAGGAAAAGGCTTATGACCGAGTAGACAGGAATGTGTTATTGCAAGCACTGAACTCATTTGGGTTGATCGCTGGCTGGGTTGATACAGGCATTAAAGTCTTTTTATAGGGACTCTTGTGGTTGTGTCAGCATCAACGGGGCCTACTGAGACTGGTTTTGGTTTGGCATCCATAGAGGTGTCAGACAGAGCTGTGTAGCTTTCCCCATGGCTGTTCAAACTATTTATGGACAGTTGTTTGGAAACTTTGAAACATGAAGATTGTGGGTTAAGGATGGGTGAGTTAACCATCAAAATGTCTTTTGTATGCTGATAATCAAGTCATAATTGCGTTGTCGGCAGCCGAATTGCAAATGATGGTTACATCAATGAACAGGTCATTAGAATAAAGGAGAATGAAGGTGAACACAAGTAAGACGAAAGTGATGGTTTTTGAAAGAGAAGAAAGTAAAACAATATGTGAAATAAGAATAGAAGACGAGTTGCTTGAGCTTGTGGATGAGTTTGTGTATTGATGTGTTTTAGCAGGGATTGTAGATATGATAAGTATATAAAACGAATGAACTCAGGAAATAGAGTGAATGGGGCTCTACACGCTATTATGGAAATCAGTCAGAATGTGTCAAAAAAGGCATGTATGGCACTTCATAATGCTGCGTTAGTCCCTACTTTATTGTATAGTAGTGAAAGTAAGGTCTGGCAGAAGAAGCACGAGAGTAGAATAAATGCTGTACAAATGCGGTCATTAAGGAGTACGCTAGGGCTGAATCTGAATGACAGGGTGAGAAATTGTGTGATAAGAGAAGTGTGGTTTACAAGATGACGTTGTGACCAGGATTAAGAAAGGAATGCTTCGGTGGTTTGGCCATATAGAAAGAATGAACGAGGAAAGAGTGACAAAGCAAATCTATATTGCAGATGTGAACGACAGAGTCGGGAACTGTCACCATAGACGAAAGTTTATCGATCAAATTGGCGATATATTGAAAATGGGCTAGATTTAGAGTATCCTTAACCGATGAACAAGTATGTGTAGGTATATGGAAGTAAAGTAGCTGAGAGAGGTGTGTCAGGATCGTGCCAAATTGAAGTACGTAGTATCTGTCTAGCCTTCTGTGTGACAGACCATATGTGTAAGAATTTTTATAATAAATCTGATTATTATATTGTAAATCATATAAACACAACTTTTTTGGTAGTAACCTGTACAAAACACAATAATGATGATTATTTTTGCCGTAAATTTCTTTTGAATTAATGTATATTTTAGTCTTTTAAATTAAAATACCTAAATAACCCTTTATTTGCGGCGGAAATATTCTTCCGCCCCGGGCGGCTGAAACCACTGAGTGCTATGTAAGCTAGATAGTGTCTATCATAGAATTCAAAGGCGTGATAGCAGATAGCTAAATGGACTGTGTACTTGTTTGTCACCCCTATTCTATTGTAGTGTAGCCCCCCAATAAATATGTCTAATTAAAGTTATAGAAACATCAACACACATTTTCTCATTTAATACATTTCCAACATTACACTATAAAAAAAAGAACTGGCATATATTTTTTTTTCTTTATTACAAAAATGTATACATCATTTATTCATAGATAAATTACTGGCACTGTGCAATAAAAACTGCAAATGTGTGTAAAAAAAATAGTCAATATAATATTGGTTAAAAATATTTCTTTTGTCTGCTTTAAGAAGTAATATATATCTCTTTTGTTTCAGTCCTGAAGGATATTTGTCTGTTGATGAAATACTACGACACAAATCTTTTAAGGGCAAATACAGTAAAACTGATGTTGAGCGAGTGGTGAAGAACAATGACAAGCAAAGGTTCAAATTGAGATGCAATCCACATACAAATATTCTAGAGATAAAAGCAAATCAGGGGCACACCATCAGCGATATTGATGATTCAGAACTGTCACCTATTTTAGAAGTAAGTTAGCTTTGAAAGGTTACTTGTGATAATTTTTTATTTATTTATTTATTTCTTCTAGCGGACGTACAAGACTGGCACTTGAGAATGCCTTTTTATTATATATATCCATCCATACAGTACAGCCTTTAACTGATTCAGTGCCATTCGCACTGAAACACTTTCTGTGGCGTATGACACGCGAGTCGTGTATTTTTTAGACTCGCCCATGAAGGGTTCCGTAGCAGCAAGTAACATAATTTACGATTTATGACGTTTAAAAAAAACTACTTACTAGCTCGTTTGTCACCCTTATTCAATAAAAAAAAAATATAATGATATTAATTCTAAACTCTTGATAAAGGGATTTCGAATCTTAATTGAAGGTAGAGCCACGCGGCAGTTTTTGCTGTTGTACGTATGGGCCGGCTCGAGCCGGGTTGGTACCACGACCTCACGGAATACCGGCGTGAAGTAGAACCTCTGCTTCTGCGTTTCGTCTGGTGAGTGCAGGTGGCCGAAGCCCCCCCCCCATCAACATGGTAGCGGAATTACACGAAAGACTATCCCAGGAGGGTACCAGCACCCCTGGAGAAGCCCTCGCTGAGCATCCACGACCATGTTATTCCACTCTCACTTCCAAAATTCCGCTCAAAAACATAACTGCTCGGGGCAAACTGAGCAACAATACCAAGGCGACCCCTGCCACATTATCCGTTAATTTCTGCAACATCAGGGGACTTCACTCGAACGTAAACGCCGTCCACTACCATCTCGAGACGGCGAAGCCGGTCTTGCTCTTTCTGACCGAGACGCAGGTGTCCTCTCCGGCTGACACTTCGTATCTCTCCTACCCGGGGGACAAATTGGAGCACTCCTTTGTGCCTCGGGCTGGAGTTTGCGTGTATGTCAGAGAGGACATCTGTTCTCGACGCCTCGGCAGTCTTGAAGGTTCGGACCTGTCCATCCTTTGGCTACGCGTAGACAGCGACGACCATCCGCGCGTCTACGGGTGCCTCTATAGGTCCCATAGCGGTAATGCCGAAACAGACCGACTCATCGACCACGTCCAAATGGCTACAGATTCCTTGCTACAACAGGTCCCATCCGCAGAGATCGTGATCCTTGGCGATTTTGCGCCCACCACGCCGAATGGCGCGGTTCACGTTTAACCGATCATGTGGGGAGACCTGTTTATGACTTTGCCTTGGCATATGGTCTGACACAACTGGTTACTTCGCCTATGCGGATTCCAGATGTGGAGGATCATACACCTTCCCTGTTGGACCTTCTGCTGACCTCTCATCCAGACGGATATCAGGTTTCCGTCGATGCCCCTCTCGGCTCTTCGGACCATTGTCTGATCCGGAGTGTGGTGCCACTCACGCTCCCCTCGCGGTTGCGTTCTGCAGGTTGCCGCCTTGTTTGGCATTACAGGTCGGCGGATTGGGACAGAATGCGGTCTTTCTTTGCATCCTACCCATGGGAGCGGGTTTGCTTTTCGCTGGATTATCCCAGCGCTGTTGCTGACTCTGTCACTGATGTGGTGCTACAGGGTTTGTACTATTTATTCCATCATCTGTGGTACCCATTGGAGGCAGGTCTCAGCTTTGGTTTGGTCGCTCCTGTAAGACTGCATTACGCAGTAAGCAGGAGTGTCATCAAGCCTGGGCTGCGGCTTCGGCGACTCGGGATGTAAACACCAGCACACTTAAAAAGAAGTATAACTTCGCCTCCAGGTCCTTCAAAAGAGTTATTGCCAAGGCAAAGTCAGAGCACATAGGCAGAATTGGCGAGAAACTAGTTCGTCTTCCTTCGGGAACCCGTGCATTCTGGTCTCTCGCCAAGGCTGTCCAAGGGAATTTCTGTAAGCCATCACTACCATCTCTGCACAGGGAGGACGACTCACTGGCCCAAGACGCAAAAGACAAAGCCGACCTTTCAGGCTCCCTTTTTGCGTCCAACTCGAGTCTTGATGACGGGGGAAAACACCGCCAACAATCGCGGTGTGAGTGCTCCATGCCGGATGTGCTGTTCTCACAGCGCTCGGTTCGCAAAGCACTTCTCTCCCTGGACATTCAGAAGTCGAGTGGGCCTGACGGAATCCCCCCAATTGTGTCGAGGACGTGTGATCCGGAGTTGGCACCGATCCTAACGCGTCTTTTCCGGTACTCCTACTCCCAAGGCGTAGTCCCGAATTCATGGAAGACAGCTTTTGTCCACCCGATCCCTTAAAAAGGCGACCGCTCAGACCCGTCCAACTATAGGCCTATCGCCATCAACTCCTTGTTCTCCAAAATAATGGAATCCATTATTAACTGCCAGCTGATGCGGTACCTTGAGGTTCACCAGCTGATTAGTGACCGCCAATACGGTTTTCGTCGGGGCCGATCAGCTGGTGATCTTCTGGTCTACCTGACCCATAGATGGGCGGAGGCAGTGGAGTCCAAGGGGGGAGGCGTTGGCCGTTAGTTTGGACATTGCGAAGGCCTTCGATCGGGTTTGGCACAAAGCGCTTCTTTCGAAGATCCCTTCCTATGGGCTTCCCGAGAAATTGTGCAATTGGATCACCAGCTTCCTTGCAGATCGGAGCATCAAGGTCGTTGTAGACGGTGCATGCTCCGAATACAAGCCTATTAACGCTGGTGTTCCACAAGGCTGTGTGCTATCACCAACGCTGTTTCTTCTGCATATCAATGATATGTTGCTAACTGGTAACATTCATTGCTATGCGGATGACAGCACTGGTGATGCTTTATACACCGGGAAAACGTCGTTGAGTACCGGAACAAACTTGTGTCTGAAGTCGAGTCTTTGCTGAACAAAGTCTCGGATTGGGGGCGACTAAATTTAGTCCAGTTCAATCCTCAGAACACACAAGTTTGCGCGTTTACCGCTAAAAAGAACCCCTTTGTCGTATCTCATCAGTTTCAAGGCACTCCCCTTCTTGCCTCAGCCAGTATCGGAATCCTCGGAGTCGACATATCGAGTGACGTGCAGTTTCGTTGTCACTAGGAAGAGAAGGCCAAATTGGCCTCTAAAAAACTTGGCGTGCTCAGCTTCGGATTAATCCCAGCCGCCAAATTTCACGAACGCACATCGCGGCAAAACTCCCGATACCATCCACACCATCTGGATAATTGGCGGTCCACCACTGTGCGATTTAGAAGATGTTTTCTTCCTCGCACGACTCCCTTGTGAAATCGATTACCATCAGCGATTTTTCCGGACCGATACGACTTAGGGACCTTCAAGAAAAGAGCCTACTCCTTTTTAAAAGGCCGGCAACGCATCTGCAATTCCCCTGGTGTTGCGGTTGTTCATGGGCGGCGGTAGTCACTTACCATCACGTGAGCCGCATGCTCGTTTGCCCCCTCTCCTATAAAAAAAAAGATAGATGTTACCTGGTGATCTAAGATACAGGTTTTAGCTAGTTTAGGCACCAGTTTTTCACCTAACAGTAGTATTGTTTCAGATGTAAGCACATATTTTTTATTGCTCTCTTAATGTATATTGTTGGTGGAAATAAATATATAAAAAAATAGATGTAGGTGTCTATGGGTTACAGTATTCTGCAAACACCTGGTAGTAAGTATTACTACCAGGTGTGTGCACGTTTGTCACCCAAACAACGAGATAAAATCTTTATCATCTGTCTCATTGATCAAAAATAAGTTTGGACAAATTAAAATGTATTAATATGAAATTCTTATATGTTTCAGCCCAAGTACAGCACAGTGGTTCATGGAACATATTATGATTGCTGGCAAAAAATAAAATCGGAAGGCCTGAGTTGTATGAAAAGACGTCACATACATTTATCAAAAGGCACACTTGGTGCCAATGTCATCAGTGGACTCCGTAACAACGTTCAAATATACATTTTCATTGATCTAGCCAAGGGCCTGGCAGAAGGTATCAGGTTCTACGAGTCAGAAAACGGCGTTATACTGACGCCAGGAAATGACGCTGGTTTTTTAGCGCCGAAATATTTTGAAAAAGTTGTTGACGTTAAAACAGGTTTGTTTATTTTTATTTTTTATTTTTGGTCAGGTTGGAAGAGCTATATGTATAAAACGTTACATAAAAAATATAATATTTTAGCCACGATTTTGACGATTGGGGCTATGCGCTCGGTGAAAATTTCATAGTACGCGAGCAACTCGGGTTCGATCCCCGCCGGCGCCAATGAAATTGTTAATTGCAATTTTAAGTGCTGATTAGTTAGATACCACGTGCATATCAGAGAAATAAAAAAAATATTACGAAAACATGTGAAGTTCGCCAACACGCATTGAGTCAGCGCGGCGGATATTTCCTTGCCCTAAAACCCTCTCAGAAATGAGAGGAGGCCTGTGCCCAGCTGTGGGACGTATAAATACTTTAACTTTACCTGTAATTATGACGTTCCACTTCCCGTTTTTAAGCGATAACCATCTTTATCTACCGACTTTAAAATAGGAGACGGTACTCAATTAGACTGTATGTTATTTTTTAATGTGTGTTACCTCATAACTTTTTACTGGATGAACCGATTTCGATAATTCTTTTTTTATTTGAAAGCTGGTGCTTCACATGTGGTTCCATATAAATTTGATTAAGGTCTGACCAATATTTTTTGAGTTATTGTTAATAATTTATATTGAAATCAGTTGTACAAAATTTTTAATTTTTAATTATTTTCTGCCGACTTTATAAAAGAGGAGGTACTCAATTAGACTGTATGTTTTTTTAAGTGTGTTACCTCATAACTTTTTTCTAGGTGAACCGATTTCGATGATTCTTTTTTTATTTGAAAGGTGGTGCTTCTCATGTAGTCCCATATAAATTTGATCAAGGTCTGACCAATCAGCAAAAAATCTAAATTGGTTCACACATAAAAAAGAAAACATACAGTCGAATTGAGTACATTCTCCTTTTTGAAGTCGGTAGAAAATAATTGATATTCATTCTGTAAATACTAGTAGTACCAGTTACTCTGTACTCAGTTTATGCTGTCCATGGCCACAACATCCATTTAGCATCAAATGGACTGTATGTTCGTCCTCGCCCTTACTTGCATTTTTAACTTAGGTTTTGCATTTTTTTATAATTTTATTTTCAGGAGCGCAGCTCACTTGAACGATGGAAGCACGCAGCTGGACGCCTAAACCTCGCAACGCGAATAAAGTGCAAATCTCAGGTACTATTTAGTGAGGTGTTTATTTATTTATTTAAAATCTGAGGTAAGCACAGAAACGAGAGAGAGAAGGGTCTGTTCGTTAGCTTCGCTCGCTCGCACGACCCCGCCATCCCCTTCTAAACTAACCTGTCCGAGCCTGGATGCCCCGAGTCCCGAGCTCACTTCGCTCGCTCTCGCACCAAATAAAACACCATTACACAAATTATTTGCGAAACAAGAATTGCCGAGTGTTTTTTTATTGCGAACAGAATCTTTGAATGCCAACCAAATGATTTAAATGCTAACCAAATGATTTAAATGCTGTTTTTGTGGCTAACTAAATCTTATTACGGCTTAATATTTTCTTACTTCTCAGTTTTAAATACATAATACACACATTTTAAGCATACATTATACGAACGTATATAATATTATCATATATAATATAGCTTAACATAAGCAGAAACATTTAAGAAAGTTGGCCACTGGAGGAAGATAGGTAATGATCAGATATATATATATATATACATGATAGATAGCAAGTCGGTTTCCTAATGTGTGGAAGCCTTATGGCATATAATTCTATATTATATACCGTATCTTTTTTTTTTATAGGATAGGGTAACAAACAAGCACACAGTCCACCTGTATGTAAGTGATAGCTGTGGCCCATAAACATCTACATTAAATTTTTCAAACATCTACATTGAATCAAAATGCAGATGCACCCGTGAGGACTAAGATGGAATGCCTCTTTTCCAGTAAAATGGGTCTCCGGTTCTCTACACTCACCATACGAAACACAGCAGTGTTAAGCTGCTATTTTACGCTGGTATTCTGTTACACCGTGGTCTTACCCCGGTCGAGCCGACCCATTCGTGCTACAACTATACTACTAACACAGCTGCAGCATGGCTCTACCACATACATGTATAGCTATGCAGTATAATTCTATAGAACGGCCAAAGACTTATATACTGCGTGTTCGAGTTCGGTGATTTTGAACAAAAACGGTGTTACAGCAGTGGATTCCGCGGGCGACGGCTATGCGGGTAACTAGCACGGTTATTATTCCACATGGTTGTATTTTCATTTACGACCTCTCAACATGTCTGTCAAAGTAGACTGCAGTTCTTTAAAAACACTTTGTAGATATTTTTTTTTTCAGGTAGAAATATTTAATAAGCGTATGAAATTCGAGTTTCTCCATTTTTCATACGAATTAAATTCCCACCAAATGTGAAATTTGAAAAAAATTGGGTGTAGTTTTTAAATTATGTTTTTTCTGGCTTCGGCTACTAACGAATTTAAGATTCGAAAAAACTAGAATACATTTCTATAACTCATTGATAAGTGTCCTCATAGAAGTTTTTTTTCTTTTTCTTTTGCCTATTTTTCTTTTTAAAAAACGTTACCCCACTAGGATTTTCTCCTTTACCGTGCGTAGTCGTAGTCTTTTTTTCTTGGTAAGTCTTCCCAGGATAGGTTTTTTTCCGACACCGGTAAAATTATGTAATGAGCTTTCAATGAGTAAAGTAAAAACAGATGTCCTTCAGATTGAATTTCTGTCACGGCGGCCTTATAACCAGACTCCTATGTTTTATTAAACACAGATCAATAACATTTTAAAAGAATTTTTGGAAAAAATATGTCACCCTCGGCTGATTTTTTTTATAATATTAATAAAGTGTAGCGTAAGTACAGTTTTCCTGTGCCTTGCTGTGGTCGGTTATGGGTAGTTGAAAGAATAAGATTTAAGAAGAACCCAAAATTGGGATTTTGTGACAAGAAATTCTCAATAGCAGCCCGGAGTCAGGAAGTTGGCCGTGAAGCACGTAGAGCCATTGGTCCTACGCCCGATCACTCTCCGATCATATCTGATTACCCTCCAATCAGAATATGAGAGTGAGGGAATAGAGAGTGCTGCTGTGTTTGCGCGCATACACTTGGATACTGTAATCCTGTCCTGCGCAGATGGCTAGTCTCCGTTGAGACTGGCCGCCATGACTGGTTTTTGGAGGCCATTTTTATACACCCGCTATTCCCCCCCCCCCCCTTGGCGATACTTCGTGAGTTTTAATTAAAAAAAATCTCATGAGAATTAGGTTGGTAATGGTAAATTAAACCATTACCAACCTAATTCTCATGCCGTACTGGTTTATTGTGATTTTTTCCTGACCCCTCTCCCCCTGTTTGTTACGTAGTTAAAGGACGACAACTTATACAAAATTATTTATTTTTAGGTTATCCTCCATACACGCAGCCGCAAGACATTTTGAAAGCGTTCTCTCCATATGGTAACGTTACAATAGATAAGTTGACAAATAAACTTGCCACCCTAAACTTCGCGAACGAGGAAGATGCAAAGGCTGCTATACAAGACTCAAAGAAAATAAATGTGTACGGGGAATTTCTCACCGTGAAACCTTTTCAAGGGAACAGCCAATCAGAGCCGTCCACACCAAAGAGGAATTTCACACGAACTAAACAGAAAGGTACTACTTCTTCTTCTTATTTTAAAAGAAAAATGGCTCCATCGTTTCTCTGCCAATGTCAAGGTTGAAAAATCCAAAAAATAGGAGAACCGTTGAAGTATATTTTCTGCCGACTTCCAAAAAGGAGACGGTACTCAATTTGACTGTAAGTTTTTTTTATGTGTGTTACCTCATAACTTTGTACTGGGTGAACCGATTTCGATGATTCTTTTTTTATTTGAAAGCTGATAGTTCTCGTGTGGTCCCATATGAATTTGATCAAGGTCAGACCAATGGTTATTGAGTTATTCTTAAATAATCTATATTGAAGTCGGCTGTACAAATTTTTTAATTTTAAATTATAACTAGTTTAACTTAGTATTAGAAACTATTTTGTGCATAACTCAAGAAATTAAGATACCTAAAAAGAAATAAATGCCACAAGATCGGTTATCAGTTATATTGAAAAACAATAGAGTTAAATATAATACACGAATTGAACATAACACACCTATATTGTGAATAATATTAGTTACAATTCTAGGTTATTAACTAAACAGAAAGGTATACAATAAGTAGTAATATGTTTTTTAAAAGTAAGCTAACATTTGTCATTATTACAAAAAGTCTCCAGTTTTCATAATCCACTATTTTAGCAACTCTGTGAGATCAAAACTGTCTGTGTAAGTCATTTTCATTTCTTTTTTTAAGGTTTTTCTATCATACAGAAAATATATAACACCAAAACCTCGTCATACTGTCCGTGTTTTTGCATGCCTCACAACGTGAGAGAGTGCTTTACTCTCGATATGTGGCCATACCTCAATTTCGCTACATAAAGTCGTTCTTATACTTTTACCTAGACATCAAACCCATATCTGGGGGCACGGCAGTGCCCCCGCCAAGTCGGGCAAAAAAGCGGCACGGCCGTACCATCCTTTTCTCGAAGTAGTTCAGGCCTTTTTCGAAACCCTATAACTTCGTTGTGGATAAAACTAGAAGCCTGAATTTTCAGTAACCAAGTAGGCATTGTATAAACTTTTATGTTTTAAATAAAATCTTTTATTTTTTAAATAAATAAATTGACTTGTCAATCGCACTAAACAATCTAATTTAATATAATATGTATTACTTGAGAGATACATTGCGTTTTCATGCGATAGCCAAGTCAATCTATTTACTTAAAACATAAAAAAATTAATATTGATATGGTCACTATAAGATGTTATTAGGTTAGCTAATTACGTAATAACTTAAGAGAGAAGGACCCTTAAGTAGGGACTGAAGAAATTAACCGACTTGGTATTACATGGATCACACAACTTTTTACGGTAGAAGAACTGAGTTGCGAGACTTGGTTTTTTTTACAAGTTATGTTTTTGTTGGCATTATTATTAACGTTACAATAATACAATACTACGGACATTGCATTATAAGATACGTTTATGTTCTAATTGATTTACTTTAGATTACATAACAAAAAATGTAATTGAAAAATATATGAACTGCTGTCCGTTGGTCTGTGCGTTGGTGAGTCTTCTCGCTTAATAGAAATGTAAGCAATAGATTGAGCTATGTAGTATTAAATAAGATTCCATGTATTCTAAGGAGGATCGCTATTTATTTTTGTTATTAAACTCGACACCGTTTAAAAGTTATTAATGAAACTCTATCAGATTCCCTGTTTTCTTTTTCTTGTAAAAATAATCGATACTATTTTAATTTTTTTCATCAATATTGAATGAAACGCTCATGAGGCATGCACATTTTTTTAAACTTTTTTTTTGGAAATGAAGGCAAAGTTGCATACGGCTCAACTGATAGTAAGTGATCACGCTTTTAGAAGGGAGTAGGCTTTTTTCTTAAAGGTCCCTTCTTAAAGATTGCATTTTTTTTATAGGATAAGGGTGACAAACGAGTACACAGTCCACCTGATGGTAAGTGGTTGCTGTGGCCCATAGATATCTACATCTATCTTCGATTAAGAATCAAAATGTAGATGCGTTGTCACCCGTGAGGACTAAGATGGAATGCCTCGTTTCCAGTAAAAAGGGTCTCCCGTTCTCTACACTCACCATACGAAACACAGCAGCGTTAAGCTGCTATTTCACGCTGGTATTCTGTGAGAGCGTGGTCCTTCCCCGGTCGAGCCGACCCATTCGTGCTACAACCATAATATAGCTGCAGCATGGCTGAAATGGCAAATTCCCTAGGAGGAAATTTGCCATTTCAGCCACGCTTTCGCAGACAAGTTGGCAACCACAGATTTTATTTTACCAGGAAGATGCTGCTGCCCATGTCCTGTTTTGGTTTCCCACTATATCCTCTTACCATACCCATGGGACAATATGGGGGAGTGGATCACTACCTGGCAAGCTCATCTCTAATATTTATATTAATCGTTCCAGGAGTAATAGTAGACCCGCACCGAATCGACCTTTCCGGTGATTTCCACGAGCAGTTGGATAACATAATGGCAGCGGTTCGTCTTACACAGGAAGAGGTCACCAAGCTCAGCACACTCTACACCGATCTGGAGGAAATTCTACAACAGCTGTGGCCAGGTAATATTGCAAATAGATGAATTTTGAGCATATCAACGCTGCTTTTGCAGCATTATGCAGAGTTGGAGATCCATTTGATGGCACTTTTTAAATTTGGATCTTTAATTTTTTTTATTATTTAATGATGTGAATGTCAGGCTTCTTAAGAGGATTGTGAGAAGCCGATACGCGGCGCGAGTAGGTATTTTCAAAAATGCTATCTCTTGTAACCAACGGGACCCTCTTACTAAGCCGTCTATCTGTCCGTCAGTCTTGTCTGTCAGCACGCTGTATCTCATGATCCGTAATAGATATACAGTTGAAGTTTTCACAGAATGTGTTTTTTTATAGGGTTGTCTTATGTGCTACTGCCCAGGGCGGGTGACAAACGAGCACACAGTCCATTTGATGGTAAGTGGCTGCTGCGACCCATAGACATCTACATCTATCCTCAATAAAGAATGAATATGAATATGCGTTGTCACCCGTGAGGACTAAGATGGAATGCCTCTTTTCCAGTAAAGAGGGTCTCTGGTTCTCTACACTCACTATACACACAGCAGTGTTAAGCTGCAATTTTACGCTGGTATTCTGCGAGAGCGTGGTCCTTCCCCGGTCGAGCCGAGCCATTCGTGCTACAACTATACTACTAATATAACTGCAGCATGGCTCTACCATGTATACAATGTGCATTTCTGTTGCCCTACTAGAAACGTGTATTACGATGGTACGGAACCCTTCATGCGCGAATCCGACTCGCACTTGGCCGGTTATTGAAATATTGTTTTGGGCAATAACATTTTCACCCCCTAAACCTACAGGTTTCGTACACGAAATGAGACAATTTTGATTCTCATTAGATTTAGTACACCTTATATGTAGGTCTGTACGTCTTGTTTAGTAATTCAGTTTAGTCTAATTAGAAAACATAAATACGCTCGAGGAAGTTTTTAAGTAAAAAATAAAACTTCCTCTTATTAAGTAAAAAATCTATATTTAAAAAAAATCTAAATTTAGATGCTAATAATTTATATCGTACGTCATATTTCTTTAAAATAAAAACGTAAGGACTTAGTTTCACATTATATCTACAATTCCAAAAATTTTGAAAGATAGACTAAGTTTACGGAGGGAAAAACATTATCGGTTTCGTAATAAAAGGAGATGGAGACGTTTCCATACATTCTTGGGCCCACGTGTTAACGAGATGAAAGTAGGACCATTTGAAAGTGCAAACAATTCATAGCTGAAAATCTGGCAAGATTTGTCAATAGGGTTATGTATTATCTACACTGTAACAGTTGATCTAACTGTAAAATCCGTAAAAATAGTTTTATTCAAAGTTGATTTTTAATTAGCCATTTGTAATGTAACTTTCACAATATTATTCACATGGCAAAGGTGTTAGAAGTTTCAAAGAAACAATTATATATATAAACACGCATATCTACTATAAATATATCGTATGAATATAATACGTTAATGAAGATGCCAAAATGGAGGTTAACGCATACTTAATTCGCTTTTAGTATGAAGTTGAAACTTCAAAAAGAAGGAGGTACTCAAATTCGACTGTATGTTTTTTTTAAATTTTTATGTGTGCTACCTTATAACTTTGTTCTATGTGAACCGATTTCGACGATTCTTCTTTTTGTTTGAAAGCTGATGCTTCTCATGTGGTCCCATATAAATTGGATCAAGGTCTGACCAATAGTTTTTGAGTTATCATTAATATATATTGAAGTAGGTTGTACAAAATTTTTAATTTTAAATTATTTCATTACAGGTTGCATGGCAATTCCCTTTGGATCGATCACTACAGGTCTTGGTATCAAAACCAGCGACGCGGACTGCTACGTCGACATCCCCAACGAATTTAGAAACCCCCATGTTAGTTACGTAAATAAAGCTAAGCGGATCTTACAAGGTTACCCCCATCTCTTCGCAGAGCTCATCGCTATTCCCCGTGCTCATACTCCAATCGTCAAATTTTTCCACATACCCACAGAAACAAATTGCGACTTGACATTCAAAACACCACTCGGAATGCAAAACAGCAGACTGATAGCATTCTTACTCCATGCCGACCCCAGGTTCATTCCCATGGCGGTTGTTATCAAGTATTGGGCCAAAATCCACGGTTTCTCCGGCACGGGAAAGTTGACAAATTATGCGCTTACAATGTTGATAATTTTCTATTTACAACTAGACCCAATATCGATACTACCCTCAGTGCAGTGGCTTCAGAAAGATCCGGGCGACGACCATATTATCGATTTTTGGAATACGGGATTCATGAAACAGCCTGATTTGCTTCCGAAGTCGTCGAATACCTCCTCAATATCGGAACTGCTCGGTGGTTTCTTCGAGTTCTACTCGACCTTCAATTTCGACGAAATGGTAGTCTGTCCATACATCGGGCAACCCATTAAGAAAGAAGCCTTTAAGGATCCTAATCTTTTGCCAAACGAATTTGAACGCTACAAACAGAATATAGCCAGGCATATAACTCCGCCTTTAAGATTTACGACATCGATATGCGTACAGGATCCGATCGAACTGTGCCACAATGTGGCTTCTGCTATCACGAGTAAATTGGCTGAAGAGATCAAATCTTATTTTAAATTCGCCGCAAACGCATACGAAAAAGAGAAACTCAATGGTTGCAAGGACTTCCTAAAGATCATCTTGTTTCATAAACCGAAACTCGTGCGAACGAAACCAATCCTGGAGTACAGAACAAATATAAGCCCTAGGGACCTTAATGGTATTGTCAACGACGATTGGAAGTCTGTTGTCGGAGAAATAGTAAAAGTCATATTTGAGCAGATACTTTTAGTAAAGTTGACTAAAGTCGAAGAGAAAGTGAACCCTGATACAAAAAAGGAGAAGGTGAAACTCGCTGGAACATTGACAAAAGCAGTATGGAAGAGAAAGCCATTCTCGAGGCTGTACCGTGAACTTCAATTTGTAGAGCAGCAGAGAAAAATAACAGAGGAAATAATGATAGCGGACAAACAGGTGATCGATTTGCAGTTCATGCTGACGACAACATATAGCAATATTCCGAGGAGAGTGATTCTGGCCTTGAAAGTAACAAATGGTGACCTGAACAACTTCAGGGAATTTGGAAAATTTTTAAACGGATATATATTGGTTTGGTTCAAGTGCCTGCTTGGTCCGTATCTAAGGCCATCTGCAGCAAATAAACCGGTCAGCGTAGCGGAAACAATAAAGGTTTTGGACAGAAATTTGAATATTAGCAGTGACAGTGACAGCTCCAGTGCAGATGAGTCCCGGAACTCCAATGCAGATGAATTCCGGAACTCTTACGCTAATGAGTCTGGAAGTTCTAATGTAAACAAGTCGCGAAACTCCAATGCAGATGAGTCCCGGAACTCCAATGCCGACGAGTCCCAGAACTCCGATGCTGACGAGTCTCAGAACTCCAATGCAGATGAGTCCCGGAACTCCAATGCAGATGAGTCCCGGAACTCCAATGCAGATGAGTCCCGGAACTCCAATGCAGATGAGTCCCGGAACTCCAATGCAGATGAGTCCCGGAACTCCAATGTCGCCGAGTCCCAGAACTCCGATGCTGACGAGTCTCAGAACTCCACTGCAGACGAGTCTCAGAACTACAATGCAGAGGAGTCCCAGAACTACAGTGTTGCACAAAGTTGTAAAACAGAATTTACATGTCAATGATTGAATATTTTTGGGGTGTCATTTGAAAGTGAATACAGACGTTTCTTGCAGATGGGGAAAGGGTTGTTAAGTTTTATCACATACAGTTACACGTTTTAAAATATATTTAAATATCGGCTTTTCATCATATCATAATATGTACAGACTGATTATCACCGGGAACTTTTTTCTAGAATTATGTGGTATATTTTTTTTTATATAAATGATTTTGATTGCTATTTATTTCTAAAAATCATCGAGAAAAACTTTACAAAGTATTACCTAATCTAAAAAAAGCTTCTGGAAATAAGGTCAAATTTTGGCTGTGCAACCCGAGTCGTAAAAAATAACAAACTGTATCTAACTCAGAGATGGAGTTTTAATGTGAGTGTTTGTTTCTTTTTCTGCCATGTTTTATTAATTAAAAGTTTATTTTCAACTAAAATCTTTTTCTGTTTTGTTTATATGGGACTTAATCACAAAATTTTTGAGAAGAACACTAATCAATTACCATCAGCATTATTGCAGTCCGCCACGAGTCCACTTCCAGACATAGTGCTTTCTCTCAAACTGCCACGAAGTACAGATCTGAGTCAACTATTTGATCGGGTCATTTTTTTATGTAATGGGGCAAGTGCAGAACAATCAATCTTTTATTGTATTATTCTGCAGTTGCCAGTACAAAGCTCCGCTCAAGGAACTCTTGCACCTTTTTATTATGGCTTCTTGTATTTGAACACTATGCCGGATATAATAAACAAAAGTGAATAAATAACCTTACTAATCTGTTGGGATCTGTCAATTATGTATTATATTCGTTGCTTCTATATTATAAAAAAATATACGGCCTTACCTTTAATCGTTTATTATCGCTTATTTAAGTATCAATTATCTCTATATCTAACTCGTTCTATTATTAATTAGTGAAAAGAGAGATAGGAGATGGAAGCACTTCTTCAGTTAACGTCAATTTAGGCTGAAAATAATCGTCTCTTAGTATTTATTAGCCTTATTAAGTCATGGCCTCATCACGTGTGTAAACCTGCTAATTTTTGTAAATTGTTAGTGCAGCTATCATTCAGGCTACCTCTAGTATGTTAACTTACTAGTATTGTTCACATTGTGGTCTGCTTCTTTATTATACAGTTTATTAATCTATGATATTTATATCTACTTTATATTATAAATAATCTAGAATACTTTGAAGCCATTACTTATTTTCCTATTTGTTTATATTAAAAAAATGCCTTTATTGTCCTCTTGTAATGTTAATATAACAAAATCATAATAGTCTAAATCAATGTTAAAATATAAGACGTAGTACAACAGTTTTTATAAATAAGTTATAAATAAGTTATAACAGTGGTAGAGCCACGCGGCAGCTTTTGCTGTCGCACGGATGGGCCGACTCGAACCGGGGTAGTACCACGACCTCACAGAAAACCAGCGTGAAGTAGAGGTTTACCTCTGCGTTTCGCTTGGTGAGTGCAGGTGGCCGGAGGCCCTTTTTACTGGAAATGAGGCATTCCATCTTAGTCCTCACGGGTGACAACGCATCTACATTTTGATTTGTAACAAAGGATAGATGTAGATGTCTATGGGCCACAGCAACCACTTACCATCAGGTGGACTGTGTGCTCGTATGTCACCCTTATTCTATAAAAAAAAAAAAAAAAAAAGTTGTTTTATTTTTTTATTAAAATTATGAAATTGAATTAAATTGACTTTTAATATTTAATGACACCGATCTTTTTTAACCACTGCAACCTACCACGTTAAGCAAAATTAAATAATAAGACAAACGCATTGTTTTTTTTTTTAACAGGAGACTTGTTTTCCAGAAATTTATTTACAACTTGAGTTTGTGAGCGTTCGCAATGAGTGCTATTATTTGTTACTTATTAGACAATTTTTCCATAACATGATTTAAAACCCACAAAGTAAAAATAGTACCATGTACACGTTAAAAAAAGTCAACCCCTAAAAATTTAAAATTTTCAAAATATCCAGAAACGAAGCTGCATGCATGAACTACTCGCAAAATAATGAATATTTTGTTCTGGATAAATTTTCCAAAAAAGCAATTTGAGCGAGTTATAACGATTTAAAAAAAGACACGACTCGCGTGTCATACGCCACACACAAAAGTATCGATGGTACGCCTGGCGTATCACCAGCACTGAACCGGTTAAAGTGTCAATTTTGGTAATTCAATCGGCAGTTTTTAATTGTCTCGAACCCCAAGCTCGTAACAATTGGTGTCAGAAGCGGGATCAAATCATGCCGATTTTACCAAAGGACGACATGGAGGGTATCCGTACCCGAAGTGAACGCCAGCTGAAGACGGACCAGAGACGATTTGGTAATGCAACGCCGCAAACGTCGGAGGGCTAACTGCTGACCACGGAGACCGGCCCGTCAGCAGCTCCTGCATCTGAAGCACCTGACTTAGGTGGTCTGATGATGATGCTGCAGGATCAGGCCCGTCGGTTGGAAGAGCAGCTGCAACGCGGACAGGAGGAATAGGCCCGTTGCTTGGAAAAACAGCTCAAACGCGATAAGGAAGAGCAGATGCTCCTCATGAAGGACCTTCACGTTACCTTCGGGAAAGAGATAAAGGAGGTGAAGGATAGGGTTGCTCAACATGACAACCGCCTGTCGGAAGCTGAAACCCGAATCGACCAAGTGAACAATCGGGTTGACAACGTGATGGCTGACGTGAAAAAAAACGCTGGACGACCTCAAAATTGGGGATGGAGTTACAGCTCCCGTGGTAGCTACAACACCTTCGCTACGTGGATTCAAAGTGCTACCGTTCGACGGGACTTCTTCCTGGTCGGCCTATAAAATCCAGTTCGAGGCTGTCATGAAAGCGAACGGCTGGAATAAACGTCAGGCCATGACTGCTCTCACCCTAGGCCTGCGAGACTAGGCCTTAACTGTTCTGGAAGCTCTCGGTAAGGAAGTTACTTACGAGCAGCTCCATGAGGCATTGGAGGTGAGATATGTCGACGCTCACCTAGAACACGTCTTTCGTGCGCAGCTCAAAGATCGCGTGCAACGCAGTAACGAAAACCTGCAGCAGTGGGCCCTTGAGGTGGAGAAGCTGGTTCGACAAGCGTACCAGTCTGTACCTGCGCTCATTGTAGGGAACCTGGTGCAGACATTCATCGACGGCATCCGCGACCTTGAAGTCAGAGCTGCTGTGAGGCTCGGGCACCACGAGATGCTTAAGGACACGTTGGCCCATGCACTGGAGGTGGAAGTCGTGCGACAGGATCATCGTTCCTATCGCGTCAGGGAGGTTGCAGCAGCTACAGTTCGTGACCGCAGTAAAGGATACAGGCCTAGGAGGCCGGGGAGACAGATGTCATTTGCAAGTGGTTGTCCCTAAGGTTAAAGTACCGGATGTTCTACAGCTGTACCATAGTGGTTGTTCAGGGAGTTAAACGAACTCTACTGAAGATCCGAGAACGGTTTTACTGGGTCCGAGAACAAACGTCTGAGAAGATGAAAACACGGTATGACCGCAAAATGAACAACAAAGGGTTTCACGAAGGTTCACTAGTGTGGTTACACAATCCAGCTCGTAGCAAAGGGAAATCTCCTAAGCTTCAAGCTAAATGGGACGGATCGTACCGGATTGTGACAAGGATCAATGGTGTAACCTAACCTACCGGATACAGAAAGGTGCCAGAGGTACTCCTAAGATCGACTGGCGCGTTATTATGAGGCCAATAATGCTCGGGACGAGCATGTCTTAGGAAGGGGCAGTGTTGCGCGCCAATATTAATGTCTTGTACATGGCAACACTAGTTACACTAGCGCCCTCTGGTGTCGAGTAGCAGAATTAGGAGAGTCAAGATCCTTCCAGAAATTTTGGGACCAATATGTACTCGAACATTCTAGATGTCGCTACAGTAGAAGGTTCTGGAAACTAGCTGAGGCCCTATATAAGGCCGTATAGACCACGACCGAGGCAGTATTAAATTGGCGATACAAGAGAATACTTCGAAGCGAAATAACTACGAACTAAAGTGATTGTGTTTTATTATTAGTGTGTGTTTTAAGTAGTAATTAGTATTCTGTAATTAAAGTGTCAATTTTGGTAATTAAATCGGCAGTTTTTAATTGTCTCGAGCCCCAAGCTCGTAACAATAAGTATTATCACCGTGCCACGGCACTGTATGTATTATGATGGTATAGGACTATTTACCATTTCGTCAAGTAAATGCCGTGTACGATGATTTAAAAAAAATAGAACGACAAACTAGCACACAGTCTAGCTGATGGTAAGTTGATGCTTACCATCAGCAAACTTCTATTATCGTCAATTTAGAATCAAAATGCAGATGCGTTGTCACCCTCAAGTACCAAGATAAATTCTTCGTTTCCGGTAAAAATGCTCCGGTTCTATACGTTCATCATATGAAACAGCAGCATTAAGCTCTAATTTACGCTGGTATTCTGTGAAAGCGTGCTCCTACTCCGCGTGCTACTACCATAATATAGCTGTAGCGTGGTTCTACCGTCGTGGTATGAGAAATGCCAGAAAAATCTTATGGCTTCCGATGGAACTCGCTTTTGCTAGACCAAATATACCGACAACATAGCGGCGCAACGGTCAAAAAACGTCTGGAACTGATCCTCAATCTGCCTACCATGCGTGACTATTAAGGCAAGTCAGCTCTACACAGGGAGCTAGGACTACGGTTCAGCTGTCAACATCTATCTCTCATAATAAAAATAACATTAGAGATTATTTTTTATTTATCCTTTCCAAGCAAAAAGGAAAAAACATTTTAATATAGTTAGGAATGAGGGTAGACAATAAAAGAAAATACGCAGAAGAGAATAGAAAGAAATCTCCCAATCATTCAGCCGTGTCTTATTTACTTTTAGTACATAAGGAAGTGTGATAAATTATTCCACATCTAATGTTAGGAACTATTCACAAAAATTTTAAATAAAAAAATATTAGTCGTATTAGAAATTACTTTGATTAAAAATAGTAAAAATGT